ATTTCAGGAGGTAGTACACGCTCAAGAATAGCTATTACTGAACCAAAAAGTTTGAGCTCCCTTGAAAGCTTTGGTGAAAACCACTGCTCCAGGAATTGATTAATACCAATTGAGATGCTTCAACGAATGGATGTAATGCTGGATGTACTCATCCATCTATGCCAAGAAATTCGAAAGACAGCTATCTTTGCAAGTGATTGTAAGATATCCATATTGTGCCCAAATTCAAAGAAAAGTAATCCAATGGAATATGGAAATTATTGAACAATTAATATCACATGCAAGTAAAATTTTCCTGAAGATAATTCAAAAACTGTTACAATCTTACATCAAGAAGGAACTTCCACAAATTCAAGTTAGGTTCAGAACAGGATGTAGAAATAGGGATATCATTGCTGATGTCAGATGGATCTTGGATGAAAGCAGAGAATAGCTGAAAGATGTTTACCTGTGTTTTACTGGTGTGCAAAAATATTCCACTGTGTGAATCATAACAAATTACAGATAACATTGCAAATAATGGGAACTCCAGAACACTTCACTGTGCTCACATAGAATTTGTACATAGACCAGGTGGAAGTCATTCAAACAAAAAGAGAGGATACTGCATAGTTTAAATTTCAGAAAACATGTGTGTCAGGACTTTATCCTTTCACCATAATTATTTACTCAGCAATTAATCCAAGAAGCTAGATGATATGAAGAAAAAAAAAAAAAATCATCAGGACTGGAGGAAGACTCATTAACAACTTGTGAAATGTAGATGACACAACCTTGCTTGCTGAAGTGAAAGTGACTTGAAGCACTTACTGATAGAGATCAAAATATACATGCTTCAGTATGGCTTATGTCTGAGCATAACAAAAATCTTCACAACTGGACCAGTAATCAACATCATGATAAATGGAGAAAATACTAAACTTGTCAAGGATTTCATTTTACTTTGATCAGCAATCAATGCCCTAGAAGCAGCAGTTAAAAAATCAAACAATTTATTGCAATGAGAAAATCTGCAAAAGACGGCTTTAAAATATTAAAGTTCAAAGATGTCAGTTTGAAGACTAGGGTGTGCCTGACCCTTACTAAAAAACCTCATTGCCATTGAGTCCATTTTGACTCACAGTGACCCCTCCTTGGGTTTCCGAGATGGTATCTCTTTGGAAGTATATTGCCCAGTCTTCTTTTCAAGAGTGGCTGGTGGGTTTGAACCACCAATCTTCTGGTTAGCAGTCAAATGCCTTAAGCACTACACCATCAGAGCCTGACCCTAGCCAACCTATTTTCAATCAGCACTTATGCATGTGAAAACCAGGCAATAAGAAAGGAAGACCAAATAAAATTAACCGAGATGAATTATGGTGTTGGCAAAGAATATTGAACATATCATGGACTACCAGAACAAACAAATCTCTCTTGGAGGAAATATAAACATAATGCTGCTAGAAGCAAGGATGATGAGAGTTGTCTCTCACTTTGGACATGTTATCAGGAGGGACCAATCTCTGGGAAAGTACATCAGGCTTGGAAAATAGAAGGTCAGTGAAAAAGAGGAAACCCTCAACAAGATGGATTAACACAGTGGCTGCATCAATGAGCCCAAACATACCTACTATTATGAGGATATTGTAGGACAAAGCAACTTTTCTTTCTGTTATTCATTACATCACCATAAATGACTCAATGACACCAAACAATAGCAACAGATTATTAGAAGCAACAAGTATATGGAGCAATCTAACTAGATAAAGGAGGCATTTTTTTCAATACATTGAAATAGGCCTTTCTATTTATAAACAACGTGCATATATTTTGAGAGAATTGAGGAAGCACACAATAAGTGGTAGATCTGTGGCAGTGAAGAAGCACTAGTAAAAGAGCCATAACAACCAAATTTGTGCCCCATATGCTCATATTACTAGATATGAGAACTTGTATCCATGACTTAACCAATGTGAGCTACATCATCTGTAAAAGGAAAGAATTAAATACCATGAAAACAAATATCCCATTGAGTTCTGAACTTCCACGTCTTATGTAGTATGAAATATAATCCATTAATCCAAGAATGCAAATAAATAAATAAATAAAAATAAAAATCAATAAAGAGCAGAGGAGAAATATGGCTACATAAGAAGCCAACTGAGTTTCAAATGAATGGTCTAAAAAGACATGGAATTGTCTTTTTCAGAAACACATTCATTCATGTGTCCATCTTACCAGACTATTAGTCCCGAAATAACAAAACGTATAGGATGTTTTTAAGTGCTGTGGAATCAGCTCTGACTCATAGCAACCCTATCCACAACAGAACGAAACACTGCCCAGTCTGTACCAGCCTCTCAAAACTTGCTACATCTGAACCCATTGTTGCAACCACTGTGTCAATCGATCACAACGAGGGTCTTCTCCTTTTTCACTGACCCTCCACTTTACCGAGCATGATATCCTTCTCCAGGGATTGGTCCCTTCTAACAACATGACCAAAGTAGATGACATGATGTCTGGTCAGTCTTACTTCCAAGGAGCATCCTGGCTGCACTTCTTCCAGGACAGATCTGTTAGTTTTTCTGGCAGTCCATGGTACTTGTAGTATTCTTCACCAATACAACAAATATATAGTTACATTAAATTATCTTTTATTTTACAGAAATTAAAAACAAACAACATAAAAATCCACAGACAAGAGTTGGTAGAAAATTAAACAACATTAATAATTAACTGAAAAACAAGGCAATACAACCCACTTTTTAATTAATTTATATTTGTTTAAGCAAAGTTGGTCTTGCACTAGTGTACCGTAATAAGTTCATCCATTACTACTTCAAAAATATGTTAGGTTTTTAATATGATTATTAATTAATTCATCAAGTATTGGAGATCTACTGCATGCTAGGTTCTGGTGCTCTAAATGTTGGCCCTTGTCCTCACTCCAATGGAAACATCAAATGAATGAGGAGGATGATAACCCATGATATATAATGTGAAGGAAATAATCATGGTACTATGAAAAAGGAGTAATATTGGTTGACTGTTTAAGAATTTAAGCTAGGATGTCAGAAAATTTTCCTTGTAAAAATGACATTAACTTAGATCTTAAGATAAGAAAGAGACAGTTGTCAGAAGGCTATGAACAAAAGCGTTCCAGGCAAATGAACAATCAAATCAATGTCACTGGAGAAGGAAAGATCATGGTGTTTCCCAAGAACAGAGAGGTAACCATATGGGTAGAATATAATGATCAGGAAGGAAGGAGGCAATTACATTGGATTAGCATGTAGGAGATAGGGTAGTCTTTATGATAAAAAGTTCTATGTTTATGCTTAGCAAAGAAATAAATATGCTGAATCATTGCAACACAAGATAATTAAGTATAAGTGATAGACCCCTACAAGATTATTTTAAATTTAGTAGTCTGTTTATTCATTCAAAAATATTTATTTGTTAGCTAATATGAGCCATTTGTATATCAATCTGTGGTAATTATTTCTGAAGAATTATACACACCTCAGGATTTTGTTCTATAACATTTGGTCACAATTCCTCAATGAGTTTTTAAAATTGTAATAGAGGTTAGGCTTATAGGTATGATCAAAAGAGACCAAAATTCTTACCTTCATGGAAGTCACTTCTCATGGTTTTGTTGTATTGTTAGTATTTTAGGTGTGTTCAATAAATTCTGATATTTAAGCTCATCAAGAGGATATTTCCACTGATATTGAATATTAGTTTTAAAAACATCAGAAGCAAGTACAAACATAGAAAATTGTTTGTTTGCTTGTTTGTTTTTTTCCCTGTAGGTACTGACTAGTGCAGTTATGAGCATCCATTGGGGAGGGGGATGACTTAATAAATGATCGTTGAAAGAGAGAGAGAGCAGAAGAAAAGATGTGTCATATGACGTAGTTCTCATTCTCACTTAGTGTTAAGATATAGAAACCACTGGCAAGAAAAATAGTAAGAATTGTTGTGTCTCTAATAGCCATCTCCTTATATTTTCCTACCTTGAACTTAAAAACAAAACAAAACAAACAAACAAACACCTTTATTACTGAAGGAAACTCAGTTTACTCTAGTCAACAATACTTAATGACCAGAAGCATGCCAGGCTTATGTGAAGATTATAGAAGCAGCTGATTCTCCCGTTCCGCTGGTGCCTATGCACCCATCCTTTTTTCTTCTTCCCTAGATCATTCCTAGGGTTAGGGTATACTGTTGATTCTTGTAATTCAGTGGAAGGTCAAAGAGAAATAGTTACATCCGAAAAGCCCTTCCTTACTAAACTACCATTTCCTGGGAGGAAACACTGAAAGGACCTCCAGCGGTACTGTGACCTAATCCACAAAGCCTCAACCCTGAGGCTTCCTTCCCCTCCACTCGCCTCTCAGGCTGTACATCAATTACTCAGTGCGTTTTTAAAGGGTAAAGTGCTAAGCACTGCCTACTTTCTTGAGGTGTCTGTCACTCTGTCCGGCTGTGTGGTCCTGATTGGCAGGCAAGTCCCTGTCGTCTGGCTCCTCCCACTCTTCCCTTTGCCGCGCTAGCAGTCTCAGCTTTTAGCTGAAGGTGCAGAACCGGATTCCAGCGGGCGGCACTGGGAGCAGGTGGAGAAGTATTCTTGTTCTGGCTGTTGCTGCTCTTCTTGCAGTCGTGGGTCTCAATCAGAAAAGGACGAACATTCTTCCTTTGCTGCTAGAGCTTAGTGAAGCGGTTGTCCAGAACCTAGACCCTACAGACACTTCATTTCACCTTATTCCGGTGCTACTTATAAATCACCTGCACATTTATAACCCTGGGAATACTCCTCTGCTTAATGCTGAAGGAAGGGGATCCAACAGGAATTTCAAATGTTTGCGGGGAGCTGTCTGAGGTGCTGAAGCTTTACAAGCATTTGTCTCTACTAACAAAACGCGGGGTTAGATTACATAGTTCCATTGCTTGCTTTCTGGTTTCCCATGCCTTGGATACGACTAATTTCAGGATCGTGACTACCTCTCCGTATCATGGCCCACGTGAGACACTTTTGGACATTAGTTTCGGGATTTTACTTCTGGGAAGCAGCCCTTTTACTCAGGTGAGTCCTCTTGTATTTAACAATTGGAGAACTCAATCCCATACACCAGGTTACAACCACTTGTTACTGACAAAGCTGAGATTTGCAATTCTAAATTAAGACTTGTTGACAATATTCCTAAAATATTGTTTTCTATCTATTTGTATCTCTGAAAACAGGCAACTTTGCTCTATTTTCTCTGATTAGTGTATTTTAGTACTTCCACATAATACTATGTTGTAGCTGAGTATACCATAGAAAAGTAAAATCTTCCAAAATCTAGGTGACCCTTTTCAAATTGCTTTGATAGTTTTGCTTTTATTAAATGAATTGTAAATTCTGGGTACCGCTTTCTTGTGAAGTATAGAATATGTTTGGTAACTAGAAATGACACATTATTAATTTTTTAAAGACAGAAATACAGAACATAGGCATTTACTGATCAGAGAAATTCTAAACATTGTTGATATAACCACAGGTTGAATTAAACTAATAAGAATAAAGGCACATAAGCACTGTTTTATAATGAGCTCCTCTCAAATAATAAATGAAGGCAAAAGCATAAATAATTAGATATGTTCTGTAATCATTTTTGAAGGAAACAATAAAATCTCATTGAACAATAAAAATTTCCTATGTTACTTGTCATATTCCAGTCATAATTGCCTATTTGGTAGACCTTCTTTTTTTTTTTTTTTTTTTGCTGATAATTAACTAAAAAAGGAGTAGAGACTTGATAAAGTAAGCAAGGTACTGTTCATACAGATTTTTGAACTACTAATATATAATTAGAAGATTTCCATTTTTATGACTCAAAGCTTTTCAGTAATATTGAGGTTAAATAATCAGAGTTAACTAAGCTATGTGTATGCTGATTTCCATTTGAAGTATGTAAATTTATTTTGTGTATTGCTATGTCAATTTTTCCTTTTTGGCCTACTTTGAAAATACAAATGCATGTTATAAAAACTACCTTATAGAAAATTATACTATTTTTGATATGCTTATATTAAAGGAGTTAATGGTGAAGTTTACTACATTTGTGGAATTATTTTCTTTTTTCTGAAGCAAGGGAGTAAACTATTACAAGTAAGAGTATTTTATTGAAAATATATTTTAATTTGATTTTTAAAAATTACAGTACCTTTATAATTGTCACAAATTTCATATGTGATCAAACAAAGTTTAAAGAGTTTTTACGTTTTTGAAAATGTCAAGGAAAGGAGTTTGAAACTCATGATATAATATAAATTGATGATTTTACCTTTATTTCTTAATATCTTGGACACTAATACATAAACATAGATGAAATAGATTGAAAGATAAAAAAAAAAGTATTTTGCTTGTTAAGGAATTAACAATAGTTGATATAAACTTAGACTTAAGAAGTTTAATGTCAGTAAAAAACACAGTTCAATGAAATAAAATTTGTATTATGATAATTTACCATAATATTTGTTATAATATGTTTTAGATATATCATCTTCATCAATAGATCCTGTGATTTTTCTCATATTTTGTTGAAATTCTCCAATATTTCTATTTCAAACTTACAGCTGGGATTATAAGAATGTACTTGATTAATATTAAATAATTTTAATTGCAAATGTCTTTTGTGAATAAACCAAAAATATAATTCTTTGAAAATGATATACCCAAAATAAAAGTTTATTTAATACCTATATTCTTTCATAAGGGTTTTTTAACCTTCTTTCATAAACAGAATAAAATTTGTCTTTATCTTAAGTCTTGGATTAAAAGAATTAATGATGTATGACGAATATTATTTACATAAGATTAAATATTTTCACTTTCAGTCATATCCCTTGAAAGAGGATTTCCTATAGTAAAGTAAGGGAAGCTCCCTCTACTGGAAATCTTCTGTAAAATATGTGACTTTAAGGTAATTATTTGTATGAGTCTACTCATAATGTTTTGAGCAAAAACAAACAAGTAAAGGAAAAAAATATATTAAAAAATTGGTATTACTGCCCCAGTACAAACTCTTCATTTAAAGAAAAAAATATCTTATTTCTAGGGCAATTTAATAACAAGAACAACAAACAGAAAGCATAGATATTTGTAATAAAATAATATTCATGAACAAACATTTTACCTCTGTTGTTGTTGTTGTTATGTGCCATCAAGTCAGACCTGACTCATAGCGACCCCTCCTTGGGTTTCCGTGGCAGTATCACTAT